TCTCCCGCCTCCACCATCCCCTTCTCCTCCCTCCCCCTCCCATCCTTTCTCCCCCTCCCTCCCTATCCCCTCCCATCCTTTCTCCCTCCCTCCCTATCCTCCCTCTCCCTCCCTCCCTTTCTCCCTCTCTCCCTCCCTATCCCCCTCCCTCCTCCCTATCCCCCTCCACTCTCAGTCTCATCGACGAATCTGTAACCTATAGCATACATGTAGGCCTACTTGTGAAGGAAGAAAAGACGGTCCCTCTTATCACCTCCCCCCCCCACCCCACCCCACCCCTCTCCCCCGCACAGGTAGGTCTAGAAGAGCTAGATTTTAATTTTTTTTTTTTTTTTTTTTTTTATTGCTTTCTGAATCTGATTAAAAGTAGTTTGTACTTATAACATACTTATGCCTTCTTAAATACAGGTAGGTAGGTTTGAGAATGGAACATGCGATGATTTATCCTTTTTCTTTTCTTTTTTTTTTTTTTTTATTTATTTTTTTATTTATTTATTTATTATTATTATTATTTTTTTTTTTTTTTTTTTTTTTTTTTTTTTTTTTTTTTTTTTTTTTTTTTTTACTGTGCCGTCGTTTCTGTGCCAGTTTTAGAATGAACTTGATTGATGTTAATGTTCACTCTCATTTCAAAGTTGCAGTCTTATGGCTTAAGTTACTCCAACACAGGTAGACCCTCCCTGTGTTGCTGAAAATCCTAGTTGGCAACCACCGAGCTAAGCCCCGCCCACTTACCTTTATTCATAGCAAATATTGGATAGCTTTTTTGTTTTTGTTTTTGATTTTTAATATTTTTAATCCATTGTTATTACTAGACCCTTTTTCAAAGAAAATACACTGAATTATTTGCCATAAAATATCGCACAAATTGTCAGGATCTAAAAGTGGGGCGGAGCTAAAAGGGGCGGAGCTAATGACGTCATCACGCTTGGCCAATGAGAGCGCATGATGAGGTACCAGATATAGCTAGACACAAAATTGTAAAATTTACTCGATGTTGTTATAATTAGAAGAATTAAAACCAAAATTCCCTTCTTTTATATTATGATAACGAAGAGTTTTTAAGAGCCGTTTGAATACTCTTGGGAAAAAGTCCGTTACAATTTTTCGGTTCAAGCTAAATGGAGGTGGAGCTACCGGTGTACTTTCATTTTTTTTTTTCTTTTTCATTTTTTGTTTCTATTTTCTTTCTCTCTTTTTGTTTTTTTCTATTTCTCTTTCTCTTTTATTCTTTTTGTTATTGGTCTGCCTCTCTCTCTCTCTCTCTCTCTCTCTCTCTCTCTCTCTCTCTCTCCTCTCTCTCTCTCTCTTCCTCTCCTCTCTCTCACTCCCTCCTTCCTACCCTCCCTCCCTCGCTTCCTCCTACCCTCCACTCTCTTTCTTTCTCTCTTTCTTCCTTCTCCATTTTAAAGATCACCGCGGGTTGTCCGGCAAAGAGCTTACCTTAATAACCCTCGCAAAGGCACCGGTTGTGAGATGCCTTTCTTCTCACAAAATAAATTCGGTTTTCTCTCGATATTCACCGGATACGCTTGGACCGTGGAAAAGGGTTAAAAAAAGGGAGATGGAAGAGTAGATGATAATTGTTCTTGCTGTGGACTTTTTTGCTGTTTTATATTGTTCCTGTTTCATTGATATAATCATTGTTATTCACCGGATCTGCATGACACATCGAATTGGTAAAAGATGATGAATTAGATTTTTTTGTCTGTGAATTTTTACTGTCTCCTTTGTTCCTGTTTATTATTATTATTATTATTATTATTATTATATTATTTTTTTGTTCAGATACGCGTGGCACATCAAAGTGGTAAAATATTAGATAATAATTGTTCTTTATATGTGCTTCTACTGTTTATATTGTTCTCCCTGTTCTTTTTCATTCACCGACACATTGAAGGGCTAAGAACAAATAACACTCATTTTCTACAACTAATGCTTTATGATTCTAAAGTAATTTTTGTAGCGAAAGTAATTTTTTTGGGGTAACTTTAGTAATAATGCTAATAATATTGGGCAGTAGTATTTGTTTTTTTGTAGATTGTTGCTTGTAGTATTAGAGAACAATATTGATTAATACTAATTGTCACTAAAGACTTACCAAGCAAGTATAATGTAAGTTGTACTAATTTTTGTCTCTGAGAAATAACATTTTCCTTTGGTGTTGTGAATCTTTGTCTCCCTTAGAGTTGTAGAACCTTTCCCCTAAGGTGTGAACCCTCCCTTCCTCCCCTTGGATGTACACCTTCCTTTCCCTTAGAGTTGTGAAACCTTTTCCCCCCATAGAGTTTTAACCCTTCCTGTCCTTAGTGTTGTGAACCCCTTTTTTCCCTTCAGAATCGTGACCCCTTCTTTCCCTTAGCGTGACCCCTTCTCTCCCTTAGCGTTGTGACCCCGCCCCCTCCCTCCCCTTCCTCCCCCTCTCGCCGCCCGCATGATAAGCATGTTGCCGCTCTTCTGTTGCAGAGTTGCCCAAAGGGTCGGCGGGTCGCAGGTTTGCCTCATCAAGGTGCAGTAGTTGCATGTCTCAGGGCTCGCTCGGGGGCAGCGCCAGGGTGACGCCGCCCCAGCATGACCTCGGCCGCCCTCGCCCGCGGTCCTTGCATGATGACCTTTGCCTTCGCACAAAGCAGCCCTTCCGCTTTCGGCTCCTGGGCTCCGGGACGCCCGACGCCCGCAGCGTGGAGATGGTGTCGCTGGACGGGTCGCGGGCGCTCGACTCCGCCAGGTCCAGCCGCGTCCTGAGGGGCGGGACCCGCTGCCCCGCGTGCCAGGCCAGGAGGGGCACCCAGACCACCTCCGTCAGGACTACCCGGAGCTCCTTCAGGAACACCCAGAGGATCTCCTTCCTCCACTCGGAGTTCGGGGGGCGCAAGATCAGCCGGGACGAGTGCCAGGACCTCGAGTGCAACTCCAAGGCCTTCCTCGACCACCTCCTGAAGGTGGAAGCCTCCTCGAGCGCCGAAACCCCTTCGTCGTCGAGGTCGCACAGCCCGAAGGAATCTAGGAAGCGAGGAAGAGAGGAGAACGGAAAGAGATTCGAGCGACGGTGACGACGGGAGATCGAGGTCGACGCCCCCCCCCCCGCCGCCCGCCCACCCAAGAGCCAGCCCCTCGGAGACCCAGCCGGGCGGAAACGCCCACCGCGCCCACAGGAGAACCCGCAGAAGCCACCCGCCCAGCCAAGACCCACAGACACTCCACGACCTCCTCGCACTCGACCTCGGACGCGACCTCCCCCTCGGACGCGAGCAGCGGCGAGACCAGGGACCTCTCCACCGCCTCCCCTTCGCCCTCGTCCACGGAGTCCAACCTCAGCGACGTCGGCCGGACGGAGGTCTCCCTGCGCCCCAAGGACGCCCACGTCTCCAGCGACCTCCTGCGGGAAGTCAGTCGCGGCATCTACGACAGACACGCCTCGTGGGCGCCCTGGGTACCCGACCTCTACCCGTCGCTGCATGAGAACAAGGCCGATAAAGAAGACACTGAAGACAGAGCTATTAGGGAAGACGAACGCGTTAGCGAAGTCAAACAACCCATTAGCGAAGACAGAACTATTAGCGAAGACAGAGCTATTAACGAAGACAAACTCATTAGCGAAGACAGAACTATTAGCGAAGACAAGCTATTAGCGAAGACAAACACATTTACGAAGACAAACTCATTAGCGAAGACAGAGCTATTAGCGAAGACAAACTCATTAACGAAGTCAAACAACCCATTAGCGAAGACAAACCTATTAGCGAAGACAAACCCATTAACGAAGTCAAACAACCCATTAGCGAAGACAAACCCATTAGCGAAGACGAAAAGATTAGCGAGACCGAAGTGCATGCCAAAAGGGGGGTTCCGGAGGTCGTGCATGGCGGAACTAACGGGTTGCATGACCATTTAGAAGGCTATGATAATCTGAGTTTCGTGGCGTAGGCGAACCTGTCCTCTGCATGACTAACCTGATTAATCAAACGGTAATTTGTGATCTGTTTGGCTTTTGAATTTGAGGTTTTGGTGTTGTTTTTTTTCTAATTATTTATTTATTCATCTATTTATTGGCTTACTATGATAGTATGGTGATGGTGATGGTAGTAATGGTGGTGGTGATGCTAACAAATATTATTATTATTGTTGCTTGGAATATATCCATCGGTAATTTTTTTGTTTGTTTGTTTGTTTGTTTGTCTACATTATCCCTAATTTCATCATAATTATTACTATCACCATCACTTCTGTAAGACTGGTTTAAAAACGCTTTTTATGTATTTATTTTCACTTTTCTTATTTATTCTTATTTTTCTACAGCTACATCATAATTCACTGAAAGTTTTAAAGACTATTTTCACCCTAATTGTCACACTAACTTAACGAGCACACTTATGATCACACTAACAACCAATTTGTATGTTGACCATCGTTATTAACCACAAACAATAAGCACTGTATGCCTCTCCACTTCTATTGCATTTATTAACAATTTACACCATCAGAATCATCACTATAAACCTTTTCACTCACTATATCTATTTATACACCCCCTCCCAAAATGATAATAATAATAATAATGATAATCATAGTAATAGATAATGATAATGATAAAGATACCTTGTTGTATATACTTATTTATCAATAATAATAATAATAATAATGATAATCATAGTAATAGATAATGATAATGATAAAAGATACCTATGTTGTATATACTTATTTATCTAATTATAGTAATAAATGATGATGATAATGATGATAATAATAATATCAGGGCTGTATATATTTATTTTTTAAACGCTATCGTCTGTTTTTTCTCAATACTTTTAAACGATATATATTTTTCTTTCTTTCTTTCTCTTTCTTTCTTTCTTTTTTTTTTTTTTTTTTTTTTTTTTTTTTTTTTTTTTTTTTTTTTTTTTTTTTTTTTTTTTTTTTTTTTACTCTATATATTTACGATTTGGTTGGCCGTGTTATTGTTCATATATTAAGAATGTTTACTTTCTCATGTGTTTATTCACGTGTTTATACAGTTATTCATCTTCGTTTATTCCTATATTTTATATCTATCCGTTTGTATAACCATTTATATCTTCGCATGTTTATTTATGTATACTTATTTATTCATATATATACGTCATTATTTGTATCTATTTATATATGTTCAGTCATTATTCTAAACGTTTATCCAGCCACATATTCCTCCATATTTACTTATCTTTCGACCTCTACATATATCCATTTACATAAATATACTCACATTCATTCATCTCAACTCAGTACAAACGTTTATTCGTCCATACCAAACGTTTTTTTTTCTTTCTTTTTTTTTTTTTTTTTTTTTTAGCTTCTAGTCTATATAGAATCATATAGTTAAACGTTTCTTTATAGATTAATTCACCGACCCAAACGTTTCTACATCCATATCAAACGTTCAACTTATATAATTATTCACATTTTAATAACCTCTCATTCGTCATTCATTTATTATTTATTTATTCATCAACCCAAACGTTTATTCATTCATGCAAACGTTTTTTTTTTTTCATCTGCATCGAACGTTTATCCATCCATATTAAACATTTGTTCGTCCACGTTCAGTGTTTATTCATCCGTTCATTCATCAACAGTAAACGTTTGTTCATCCCTTTTTAACGTTTTTTTTCCATCTATCAATCCAAACGTTTATCCATCCTAATTAAACGTTTACTCATCAGTATTAGACTTTTACTCATTCACATTAAACGTTTACTCATCCACTTTAAACGTTTATTCATTCCTACCAAACGTTTACTTACCCACATTAAACGTTTGCTCATACAAAAAATATTCGCCCCCAGTGATACCTTTACTCGTCGCTGCCAAACGTTTCCTCATCCAACTTAAACGTTTACCCATACAAAAAAAACGTTTCTTCATCCAACTTAAACGTTTACCCATACCAAAAAAAAACGTTTCTTCCAACTTAAACGTTTACCCATACCAAAAAAAAAACGTTTTCATCCAACTTAAACGTTTACCCATACCCCCCAAAAAACGTTTCTTCATCCAACTTAAACGTTTACCCATACCCCCCAAAAAAAAAACGTTTCTTCATCCAAAAACGTTACCCAACCAAAAAAAAAACGTAAAAAAAAACATTTCTCAAAAAACTTAAACGTTCTTCATCCAACTTAAACATTTACCCATAAAAAAAAACGTTTCTTCATCCAACTTAAACGTTACCCATACCAAAAAAAAAACGTTTCTTCATCCCTACCAGACGTTTCCTCATCCAACTTAAACGTTTACCCATACCAAAAAAAAAAAACGTTTCTTCATCCAATAAACGTTTACCCATACCAACTTACCCATACCAAAAAAAAAAACGTTTCTTCATCCAACTTAAACGTTTTTCCCCCCCTTTCTTTGCAGAGAGAGGGAAGGCCAGAAACAGGGCAGCGGTTGAGGAGCTGAACGACAAGACTCTCATGTCACAAGTGTCACTGTCAGACGCCGCCGCTATGCCAGAGTGTCATGAGCTGCCAGAGGTCTTCGTGGACAAATAAGGAGGAAGGAGGAAGAGAGAGGAGGAGGATAGGAAGGGGAGAGGGAGGAGGAAAGGGGTGGTTGTTTTTGTGTGTTGAGGAAGGGAAGGAGAGAGAGGAGAGAGGGGAGAGGGGAGAGAGAGAGAGAGAGAAAAGGAGAGAAAAAAAAAAAGAGAGAGAGAGAGACAGAGAAAGTGAAAGAAAGAGAGTAAAACAGAAACAGACAGATAGAAAGAGAGAGAGAGAGAGAGTAAGTGAGCGTTTCTATATATGCGTGCGTCTGTGTGCATGTGTACGTGTGCGCGTTTGTTATAAAAAAAAAAGGAAAAAAAGCCGGTTAAAATTAGATTACAGAACCCTGAAGCATAGGCCTTCAACCGGACATAAAAAGGCCAGCCACTCGATTTTCGGATTCCCAGAATGTGAAATAGTGAAAGAAAAAAAAAAGAGAGAGAAAAAAAAATATATATGATACACCGTCGTAAATTGAACCAAGTGTGTAAGTTTACGTTTTGGAAACTAGTCACAGTGGAAAAAAATATATATATATATATACAAAGAAAAGAAATTGTGTAGAAAAAACGGTGGTTTAATTTTTTTTTTTTTTTGGGGGGGGGGAAACGAGTGGTTTTGATTTTTTTTTGGAGGGGAAAAAATAGACTTCTTTTTTTTTACATTATTGGAAAAGAAATGAGGAATGCATAAAGAGACCTTAGTTTTTTAAGTCTGGAAAGAAAGGTAATGACTCCCACATTGGTGTAAATAAAGTGAGCTTTAAAGATACATCATGTGTGGTTTTGAAAAAAAAATATTGTACCTAATAGAAAAAACAATTTCAATATCACAAATATATGTAGTGGTATGTGATACGAATGTAAAAAAAAAAAGACTGATATAAATGGGAATTTGTGTTCGTATGTCCAAGAATGTGTCTGTGTAAATATATATACATGTAAACAAAAGCTAGGAATAAGTGATTAAAGTCGAGAAA